ACAGGTAGCTCTTTTTAATACCATGGCAGCTTCTGATTTGCTCAACAAAGCCAACAAGTGATTGCTTCCCTGGGCCCATTACAAATGGCTCAGTGTTGGAACAAGAAGCTTGAGAGCAGAGAGCTCTCTTTCAACTATTCCGTTTTGGTATAACATTTATTTTTTTTCCTAACTATAGAAGCAATGCATGTTTAATACTCAACTTTGAGAGCATGTAATGCCTCCCACTGAACACTACTTTCAGTGCTCTTTCTGAAGGATGGAGATTCCCAATGGGCTGCCGAGGGCCACATCTGGACCCAGTTTCCTGGGCCCACTCAGTCACTCTGGGTGTCCAATAAAGCACCCTTAACCTCTGGCTCATTCTGCAGCAGAGGGCAAAAGCTGATGAATGTATGCACTGGGTTTTTCCCCCTAAATCAATTATCAGAGGAAGAGCCAGAGAACAGGAAAAGCCCTTTGAAATCACCAGAGTTATGAGCCATGCAGGATTAAAGATGGCCACAAATTCTGACATCCCTTCCATTGCAAGGTGGGTCTCCATCCCTCCCCTGGAAGCTGGGTGGGCTGTGAGACTGCTTTGTCCAATAGCATATGGCAGAAGTGATGCTGTACCCCTTTCCAGGCCTGGCCTCAAGGGGCTGGCACTCTCATTTCCTGTCTCTTGAAACGCCTGGTCTTGGAGTGCTCACTGTGGGAGAAGCCAGCCACAATGTTAGAAATCAAGCTACCCAACAGTCCACCAGGCTGCGAGAAGCCCAAATGATGGGGAGAGACCCTGGAGAATAAGATGAGGTGGGAAAGAGGGGGGAAGCAAGATGCACACGGGCCATCTTAGAAGTAGATCCTCCAGCCCCAGCCAACACCATATGGATCAGAGACAAGCACCCAGCTAAGCCCCTCTTAGATTCCTGACCCACAAAACTGTGAGGAAGACAGAAGGGTTATTTTTAAGCCATTGCATTTTGGGGTAGTATGCTATGCAGCAACAGTGAATAGGAGCATAAGGCAAGGTAGGCAAGTTCTTGAGAAGAGGAGATGCTCCCACAAAGCCAAAGGGTCAGGGGGCCAGCTGAACTGGACCAGAGTGGGGAGGGGTGCCATGCAGAAGCAAAGCCTGAGAGTTCCAAACAAACTACACCCAAACAGGTCAAGGGTGCTGAGAATTCTGGTCCTGTGGGTGTGGTGGATCAGCTTGGTTTCAAGTACCAACTCAAGACCAAATGGGGCAGAACAGGCCTCAAAGAGCCATTTGGGGGAATTACGCTACTAGCTCCTCCCTCCCAGGTACCCAGAAAAGGGGGTACCCTCATTAACTGCATACACATCTATGACAGACCCCTCTCCATCCCCACTGCCAGAAAGGCAGTTCTGCTAGGACCGCCTACTCCCCTTGACCACACCCCTTCTATTAATCCCACCTTCCAGAAGCCACCAACAAAACAAGTCAAGGACACACAAGTGGCACTTTCAGGTAGCCCTTCCAGAAGGCATTTCTCCTATCCCGCTTTCCAACAGCCCCAGACTTCCACTGTGGCTCCAGGTGGCCCCCAGGAGGTCAACTCCGTATTCTACGAAACACATGACCTAAACTGAGTCACGCAGTCCATCCCATATTGGTTCAAGGGTGGCCATGTGACCTAAGCTGGCCCAATCAACGTGACCTTCAGGACTTCCGCTTGAAATGCAGAAACAAAGACTTGCTCTCCTTCTTGGGATGGTGAACTGTGAAGACTGCAACCATCATGACCATCCTGCAGAAGGCATGCCTGAGGACAAGGCTGACATGCACGGGGGGAAAGCAGGGCTCAGAGAATCCCAGAGAACAGTCACAGCGGTGATGACAGAGGGCACCTAGCCCAAGCTGAACCTGAACTCATCATACCTCCACATGCTTCAGTCATAAAGCAATAAGCTCTATTTCAATGAAGACAGTTGAGGTGGGCGGGGCCTAAGGGGAAGAGCTGCAGCTAGTGAGGAAAAGCCTGAAAGGTGGGGCGGGTAGGGAACAGAACAGGAAATAAAGGGGACAATCTTCCGGCTATTCAATCCTTAACAACAAGTTAAGAGAAATAAACTAAATGTAAATTTAAAATAAAGTTCTAGTCATTAAAGAGCAAAGGAGTGAAAATAAACACTAAATCTAATTAAGTCAATAGCCAAGACATGGAAGCAACCTAAGTGTCCACTGATAGATGAATACGTAAAGAAGAGATGGTATATAGACACAAGAGAATACTATTCAGGAAGAAGAAGAAGGAGAGGGAGGGAGGAGGAGGAGGGGGAGGGGAGGGGTAAGGGGGATAAGGGGGGGAGGAGGGGGGAGGAGGAGGAGGAAATCCTGCCATTTGCAAGAACGTGGATGGACCTTAGGGCTTTCAGTCAGAGAATGACAAATACTATACAATCTCACATACATGTAGAATCTAAAAAACCCATCTCATAGATTCAGAGCACAGATTGGTGGTTGCCAGAGGCAGGAGGTGGAAGGTGGGTGAAATGGGTGAAAGTGGCCAAAAGGTTCAAACCTCCAGTTGTAAGATAAATAAACTCTGGAATATAAGGTATGCCAAAGTGAACAAAGTTAACAATATTGTATCACATATTTGAAAGTTGCTAGGAGAGTAGATCTTAAAAGTTCTCATCACAAGAAAAGTAAAACTGTAACTACATGAGGTGATGAACTAACAGAACATAACACTGGTGATCATTTCACAATATACCCAGATATCAAATCATCATGTTGTACAACTAAAGTTAATAGGGTGTTACATGTCAATTGTATTATAAAACTAGAAAAAAAATTTAAATTTTTTTTCAAAAAGGAAATTAAACTACTTTATTTAAGTCTTAAAATTGTCAAAGCAGCCCCGAGAATCCTAAAATAAAGAAAATGTATTTATTAGCAGTTGGTTTGTGTTCCATCATCCTTTCAGCTCTCAGAGGGCTTTTCATACTGGAGCTGGAAACCAAAAACTCAAAATTAAGCAAAACACAGCAAGCGTGTAAAACATGCTCTCTGCATCCTGTTCTACCAAAGACCATAAAAGAGATAAAAAGCTGAAAGAGCAAGACAGGCACTGTTGTTTCACTGAAGTGTTTCTGAAAGTCCGAAGGATTTGGAAATAAATTTTGATTAAAACTCTCCGCATAAATCACATCAATTTTTATCAAAACGATCAGATGTATCATATCCCCACATACTTAAATTGTGGCCCCTTATAAAATTATAGTGTTTACATTGCTTCAGGCACTTCAGAGAATTATCTGGATAAAATACATATCATTTCAAAAAGTAAAAGGAACACAAAACACCTAATAATACACAAAACACTCCTCTTCAAGGACTCAGATGAAAGCTGTTTTGTTTTCATTTGAGCATTCCTTAACAACCACTAGTGTTCTCCCATTTAAAGTGCCTTCATTTACGCTTTTATACAGGGCTTCAGTACATTCTAAAATACGTCTGAGATTACTCAGAAATGGGATGATTCTACAAATATCAAGCACAGAAGACAATGATGACAGCATTTAATCCTCAGCTCAGCAAACAGAAATAATTATTCAGATGACCTGACTTAATTACTAATTTTGGGAAGAAACACGTTTGCAGCAAAGCCATGCTGAAGGATCCCAGTGGACACAGGGTGGGAAAAAATACTGGAGACGTCTATGACCAGAATTATGAATGGAGCTCTAAACTTGGATTATTTCCAGAAGAGGCAAATACATTCTACTCTATCAGGACCCAAGTAGAGAGTGGGATTCGATTTAAGGCAGGGGTATCCTAATCATGGCAAACGGACACTTCACACGGGTAAGAGGAAAGAAATGCTGAAGAGGGATAAGAATATCACTCTTCTAAACGTAAGTGAATCTGATGAGCTGACAATCCTCAATGTGGGGCTTTGCTACAGAGCTTCAAAATCAGGCAGTAATTTCTAACCCTTCAGGTTGAAAATAGGTCCAATAAATAAGGGATCAAGCATTGTTTCTTCCAGAGAAAGTCAAAGTATAGGAGATACTACAGAGTTAACTATTAACAAGTCTTAGAGGTCTACAAAAGAGTATGATAGCAGCAAAAGATATTGCAGCCAGATACTGATACATTCTACTAAGAACAGCCTCACAGTGAGATGTATTGCCAAAGGAGGCTAAACATTCTAAAAGCTTTAAAGAAAAAGGCAAAACATGATGGTTTTAAATGCAATCTGCCCCCCCAGAAACATGAAAACAATATAAATGAATGTCCCCTTAAACAGACTCATAATTTCAGATTCATTAATCTCCCATAAACCAGGACCACTATTCCAAGGCATTTTCTAGACTAAACCTCAGTCAAACTAGGTTGGCATTCCCGCCAATAAGCAGTTAGGCGAAGACCTATGACTTCACTGTCCAATATGACAACCATTAAGCACAAAGGGTATTGGGTATTTGAAGTGTGCCTGGTCCAAATTGAGATGGGCTATATGTATAAACTACACACCAAAATTTAGAAGACTTTAGCACCAAAAAAGAATGAAAATGATCTCAATCAACTTTTTATACTGATGGTGAGGTGAAATTATACTATTTTGGATATATTTGGGTTAAATAAAATATACTTTTAAAATTAATTTCACTTGTTTCTTTTTACTTTTTTTTAATATGGCTACTAGAAATTGAAAAGGACATGTGGCTCATATTTGTGGCTTGCATTGTTTTCTCTGTCGGACATGATAAGCAAGCAAAATGAAACACCACTGTATCAAACACACATCTGGGTTGCTAAACATTTCACAGGTGAACAGAAGAATGAAGAAGGGTAAACAGTATCAGGGGCCTTCAGAGGAATCTTACCACGGCAGAGAAGCAGCCACTACGTTGTTTTAAAGAAGTGATAAGCACAAACAACAAACTTCCTGGAAAAGGAGATGCTGTAATTGCAGATTCTCTTTTCCCCCTTCTGGAAGTGTCCCAAAGACTCTTCTCTTGGGCGGGCTCACCCTCCTGCCTACCTTTGATGAGCTCCGGCCTGTATGTCTTCCGCAGCTGCTCCAGGAAGCTGTTGTAGAAGCTCTCTGCCTGCTCCGTGGGCATTGCCAGGTGGAAGTCAGGCTTGTTGCCCTTGAGGACGCACTGGAGGGTGAACTGGCTGATGCACAGCACCTCGTACTGTTTGTCCATCACACTCTTCGACCAGTGTTTCCCGCTCTCATCCTCAAACACGCGCAGGTTTAAAATCTTTCTGACCCTAAGAGGAAAACAGTGGTGAGAGCTACCTAAAGAATCATAAGCCCCCCAACACACTCCATACCTCCAAAATGTCACCAACATCCTGTCAAATAAGGACATAATATTGACATAATATTATATGTATTACATATATATAAGGACAAAAGGAGCAAGTTATTTGGGCCCTGGGCAAGTTATGTGAGGTAGTCACAGGGCTGTTTTGGGATTCCTTTTTTTTTTTGGTCAGTCCCTCCAGCAGCTACCCACGGGAACCGGAGCTAAGAACAACCACTCACTACCTGCTCTTTCAAGTTAGTGGATATGTCAAGACATGGGTCCAATTCTAATTTTTTTATAGAAGAATTCAATCTTTACACTGGAATAAACGATACCCCCTTTTTACATCCTTTCTTGGAGCTACTCAAAATGAACCACTGGGCAAACACCATGAAGAAAACTCAAGGTTACTGCAAATATACAAAAAGGCTGGCGAAAGCCTCCCTGACAACTGTGTCACATGCCTCTTGAGCCCCAGGAGGGCCTTTCTTATAAATGTGGATGACAAAGAGCGGCCACTTTGGGGCACCTGGGTGGCTCAGTCATTAAGCATCTGCCTTCAGCTCAGGTCATGATCCCAGGGTCCTGGGATCGAGCCCCGCATCGAGCCCCGCATCAGGCTCCCTGCTTGGCGGGAAGCCTGCTTCTCCCTCTCCCACTCCCCCTGCTTGTGGTTCCCTCTCTCACTGCATCTCTCTCTGTCAAATAAATAAATAAAATCTTTAAAAAAAAAGAAAGAAAGAAAGAAAGAAAGAGCAGTCACTTTGGCAAGGAAGAGAACCAGGGAACATTTATTCCTTAGCAGGAATTAAGTTCCAAGTCTGATTTCAACCTAATACAAAGGGACATTTGGATGGAATTACACCAGGTATGGGCACCAACAGGCAGAATAAACAGATCCACATACACCTGAAGCAAATGTGCCATGTGGTGCTGGGGGTGGGAGGAGGGCAAACACGGGGACAGGGGAGGCGGCCTGTACTTAGAGAGCCAGTCAGGGAACAGCAATGACAAACTCCCCCATCTTAGTAAAAAGAGCACCAGCTTCCAAGTCAGCAAGCCTAGATTCTAACTTGAATTCAGGCTTTTTCTACATACATGTTCATGATCTTAAGAAAGTAATTTAACTGTCTGAGCTCCAGATCCTATGCACACAATGAACTGAGCATTTTTTAAGTGCATAAATGGTGCCCAGATCATACTGCTTAAATTGGAAAGAGAAATCATTCATATGAAAAGAAGTTAAGTTTTGCAATAAGAGAATGGTTCATGGATAAAGGAGCAAATAGGGACCGAGGCCATTGGGTTCCAGCTCTGCTCCTGACTTAGTGGGTGTCACCTGACAAACAAACTACTCTTCCTTGGTCTCCTCACCTGAAACATGGAGATAACCATATTACATCAATGGGACACAGATAAAAGTAACAGGGGCTCACTTCATAGGAACAAAATACTATCAAAGTTCTCAGTGTATGTATATATATAACTTAGGTAGGTAGGTAGGTAGGTAGGTAGGTAGGTAGAGATAGATAGAGATATAACCACTACATAGCCCATTCAAACAGCAATGACTCAGAAATCTGCCTCTTACATGTGCTCCAGGTCCTTCTGTGTATCTTCCAGAGAAATACCCAGCAACACACAGATGCCCCGCCCAATAGCACTTATTTGCTCTCCTCCAACTAGAAAGAAAACAAAAAGGAAAAAAGACTCAGAACCAAACAGGTGGCATGATGCACTTTTAAGTAACCAAAGGAATGTTTAAACATCACACATACTTCTTATAACTTCTTTTTTATCTAGAATGAATGAGTTCTTAAATGAATAACCATTAAGCCAAATTTTAGGGCCATATTTTCATCCTTGTTACCTTGGGTAAGACACCTCAAACTTTCCATGACAGAATTTGCCCATCTGTAAAAACAGAACAGAGTTTTCCTCTCCAGAGAATCAAGCTTAGCTGTATTCATTCTCTGAAAAGAGATACCTGCTTTTCTTGGGAATCAGCAAATATGGTAACACAATATAGAGACAGCACAAAATAATAGACATTTATGTCAGAAAAATAAAGAAATAATTTTTCTACTTACTATGAAAAGATAAATACATTATACATAAAAACCACAGTTTAAAAGGTAAGCTTCAAGGTGCCTGAGTGGTGCAGTCAGTTGACATCCAACTTTTGGTTTCGGCTCAGGTCAGGTTCTCAGGGTCGTGGCATCAAACCCTGCGTCGAGCTCCAGAGCTCGAGACTCTCTCTCCCTCTTCCTCTGCTCCTCCCCCCTTCTCTAAAATGCATAAATAAATCTTTTTAAATTAAAAAAATAATAATTAAATAAATACAAGTTAAGCTTCAAGTCAGCAAACTTCTATTATTTCCCAGTTTGGTACTAAACTTTGTATTCTAAACCAATGACCTCCAAATCCCTTTCATTCATGCACCTCATCCACAAAACAACAAACCTCTTAATATATATTCCAAACATCTGTGTACGTATTTATACTCAAATGTACGCTTTACTAACAAGAGGCAGTATCTCATGCTGGCACAGTTCTTAGGCCAAGATGCATCATTATGATGGTAAACCTAAATCCATATTTCAAATGTTAAATCTTTGTATCTTTCAAAATTTTTGGCCAACTTTTTGCCAAATCTCATTAGATTACTGATGTCTTGTTATTTTACCATCTATTAACCTAATGTTCCAGTCCGGAGAAGGGTAGACTCTGCCATGTTCCTGTTTGCTTCTGCTGGATCATAGTATCTGTAAATATACCTGACAAGGCATCATAGACTGGAACGTGTTGCCATATCCTGCAAGCTAAGGAAAGAATGAGAAACCCCCCTCTTCTCCACCTATCTGACAAGGGACCACCTGACATGCAGACCTCAGGGGAGTATCAGCATCAACACATTCCAACCCAAATATCAGTAAAGCTTAATTTCTCTTCTTTTTATGCTAAGAAGTATTTTCTTCTGTGTTGCTTGGCTTATAATGGACTATGAGTGATTTACTGTCCTTTGAGCCAATGACTCAGAAGCTGAAAAGAGAAATAATCTATCCTGAAATAAGCAATAAACAATTGGGGTGGTTCGCTTGTTTGGGTTGCTTTAGAAAAAGCTTCCGGCTTTATTTGTTCTTTAAAGAAGTCACTATAATTTTCTTATAATATCAATGTATTTTTTAAAATTTTCCCCATAGTATGTTTTAAAAGCTTAAATATAATGGTTATTGAGTTATAGCCACCACTAAATTAATGCATAAGCATTATAGAAAATTTGGAAAATATAAGAAATAGGAAGGAAAAAAAGAACACCCAAAGATAAGCACTTTAATATTTCAATGATTTCCTTTTGATATTTTCTCTATCCATGGGTTTACTTTGTATTTGTTTTCAACTACTGTAATAATATTGTATATAAATTTTTGTGTCCCATCTTTTTCTTAACAGTGCCTAAGGATTTTTTCATGTTATAAGCTTTTCCTAAACATCTTTTAATAGTTACATCCCATCAAGTGGAATAGTTGCAGTCCATCCAATGGACCGACTAACCATCCCATTGGGCTGGATATATTGTTTGTTTCAAAATTCTCACTTCAATAAATAACACTGTGGGGAAAATCTTTGTATACTAGACTTTAGACTTTACATTTTAGAGCAGTTTTAAGTTCACAGCAAAATTGAGCAAAGATACAGAGATTGAGAGTGTCTGGGTGGCTCAGTCAGTTAAGTGTCTGACTCTAGATTTGGGCTCAGGTCATGATCTCAGGGTCATGAGATCGAGCCCTACATCAGGCTCTGCGCTGGGCATGGAGCCTGCTTAAGATTCTCTCTCTCCTTCTCCCTCTGCCCCACATCCCCTCTCAAAAATAAAAGAAAAAGATACTATACTCACTGTCCCCATACATGCATAGCTTCCCCATTGTCAACATCCCCCACCAGAGGGGTACATTTGTTACAACTGATGAACCTGCACTGACACATTATTATCACTCAAAGTCCATAGTTTACATTAGGGTTCACTCTTGGTGTTGTACATTCTATAGGTTTGGACAAATATACAGTAACATGTATCCACCATTACAGTACCATACAGAGCAGTTCCACTGCTCTAAGAATCCTCCCTGCTCTGCCTATTCATCCTTCTAAATCTTTTCCTACAATTAGTATTCTCTTCTTAGAACAGATTCCGAAAAGTAGAATCACTATTCAAACTCTTCACTACCTGAAGAGTTTCATGCTTCTCTCTCTTCCTCAGCCACTCTCTCGTGCTCTCTCTCTCTCAAATAAATAAATAAAATCTTTAAAAAAAAAAAAAGTTTTTTAAAAAAGGGGGGCGCCTGGGTGGCTCAGTCAGTTAAGTGTTTCCCTTCGGCTCAGGTCATGGTCCCAGAGGGGCTCCTTGCTCAGTGCGCTTCTCCCTCTCCGAGCTCTGCCACTATTTCATGCTCCCTCTTTCTCAAATAAATAAGTAAAATCTTTAAAAAAAATTTTTTGAAGAGTTTCAACATTTTTATAATGTATTACTGCCTTAATAAGAAAAAAATTATGCCCCAAAGCCTATCTATAACATAGTTTGCTCTCTTATTTTGGAGTAGTTTTGTTTCCCCCCTCCAGGGACAAGTAGAAGAACTAGGAGATCCAAAGGGTTCTTTTATTATAGACAAATGGATTTCCAAGGGAAAAAACTTGAGAGTCACTAATTTAGACAACAGATCACAGGGCTAGAAAAGACCTGAGATATTTGGTCAATTTACCATGTACACTGGCATCACCACTGACCTCTTCAAGAAGAATTCACAACCTCTCAAATTAACTCACTCAAGCCCATTTTAGATCCTCTTCCCAACATTCTATGATTCTATTCAGATTTTCACTGCTGAAGCTAAGCGATGGGACATGGGAGTTACCACACTTTGCCACCTGTGTAACCAAAGGAACATGTTTGAAATGTTCCATAATAAAGCTTTTAAAATTAGATTATCACAATAACCATGCTAAGGCATCAAAATGTGCTTGACCAATCTCATTAAGTGAGTCTGCCACATAATTAGATATGACTCCTAATATTGTACTCTGTCCCAACCATAAAATCAGAAGTGACATTTTAGACCCCCATAATAAAATGCCATTTGTGTACAGCCATGTTTCAGTGAAGCCAGTCACATTCTAAAGGAATAAGAAAATCTTTCCATTACAGTTCAACTAGAAGGCCTGGCTAACCTGAAGGTCCCTCCAGCACTGAGAGAGAATTCCATTTTATTTAAAACTTCCCACAATTAATACCCTTCTCTTTTTTTAAATACCCTTCTCTTTTTTTTAAATACCCTTACCTTTTTTAATATGCAGGTTTGTTGTTTTTTAACCAAAAGCACCAATTTAAATCTTTTTATTTATTTATTTATTTTAAAGATTTTATTTACTATCTGACAGAGAGAGACACAGCAAGAGAGGGAACACAAGCAGGAGGAGTGGGAGAGGGAAAAGCAGGCTTCCTGCAAGCAGGGAGCCCGATGCGGGGCTCAATCCCAGGACCCTGGGATCATGACCTGAGCCGAAGGCAGACACTTAACAACTGAGCCACCCAGGTGCCCCCAAAAGCACCAATTTAAATAGTAAACTAAAATCACTCAAACTATTCAGCAAATCTCACAAAATACATGTTCTCAATATTTCAGATCAGCAGAATGAAGAGTGCAAGAGAAAATTAAAACTTAAATTCCTCAAAGTTCACTCATTGTTCATGATGACCACACAGAGAAGAATGCAAGATTTTGCTCAAAAAAGCAAAAAATCTTTTCATCTATGTATTTACCCAGTTTTAGTTCATGTAAATATTAACTGAAAGGCCAAAAAACCTTTGTTATAAAAGCCGTGTAAATCCCAAAGCTATTGTGTTCCCTATTACTCCAGGACCATATCCAAAATCAGTTAACAGAACAGCTTAGAAATCATTAGGTAGCATTGAAAAGTAGACTCTCAGATCTAAATATATGGTTTTGCTGGGTGCGTTGTTTCTTTAGGGGATTTTGTTGCTTTGTTTTTAAATTTAGATTTTTGTGGACACAAGAACACATACTTGGTGTAGACTGGTTAAAGAAAAGGATATCTGGAATTACTTGGACTGAGACAATACTGTAAGTCTGAAGAAAAAAACCCGAAGACTTAGAAGACCATCTTAAAATTAGTCATTAAAAAAATTTTTAACATCTTTTTATCTTGGTTTGACTTTCTAAAACGACTACCTTATATACATTAATCATCTGGATCTCTGATGTTTGAGCTAGACTACAGCGATCCAGCAATGACTAACGGCTGGGTGGCTTGGTCCACAAGAAACTGGTGGCAAAGAGAAATATTTCATCCAGAATTCTTTAGATTCTGACCCCATCCCTGCAGGGTTAGAGAAGTGAGAAAGAGAGGTGTCCCGGGGGCGGGGATCATTCTGTATCCAGCCTGGGTGCTGGTCACGTGGGTGTGCACAACTGTCAGAACTCATCCATATGAACAACTCTTCATATCTGTGCATTTTATTGGCAGTCAAGCTCCATAAAAATTGGGACATGTAGACAATAGGCAAGAATGGGAAATTTAAAACAGAACGTTGTAAGGGGGGAATCGGGGTCCTTGCTCCGGAAATGCTGCCTACGTGTTGTTTGTGCAACATTCCACAGAAGAACGGGCCATGGGGATGCTCGGAGGTTCTGCCACCCGATACTCGGGGCCAAAAAAAAAAAAGACGATAATAAGGCGCGTTTATCGTGAACCCAAAGCAGAACCCTGCAGCCAGGGCCGCGCGGGAGTCCGCGGGGCACGTGGACTGCTCCGCGGCCGCGGCGGCGCCCGGAGCCAACCCGGGGACCTCGGGCTGCGGGGGCCGAGCTGGCCAGGGCCCGCAGCGGCCGTAGCGGCCCTGGGGACGGCCCGGCGGAACCCTCGCGGGGGCGGCCAGTGACTGCCGGGCGCGGGGTCAGGGGTGGCTCCTCCCGGGCCCGGCCCCGGCCCCGCCCGACTGACCTGTGACGCTGGCCCGGGTGACGCGCTGCACCACGGCTTTCATGGCGGCGGCTGGGGCGAGTGGGGCGGCGCCGCGCTCCTTCCGGCCTCGCGACTCTGCGGGCGGCTCGGCGGCCGGCGCCCTCTGCGGGTGACACCAGGAAGCGCGCCGAACCGCCCGGTCGGCCCCGGTTGGCCGTGACACGCCCACGTCGGCCGTGACACGCCCACGTAGGCCACGCCCACCCAGAGGTCGGCCCCGCCCGCGCCGGTCGCGCCCACCTGGTATAGGTCCCGCCCCTTCCTCGGTCTCGCCCCAGCCACAGGTGGGCCCAGCCCCCACCAGATCCAGAAACCCCTGCCCGGCCCCCGCCCCTACGCAGTTTCTCCACCCGCTGTTTCTCACATCCTCAACCTAGGAGCCGATCATCCCTAAATCCCAGCTTTGTCCTGAATCCTAATCCTGTGTTCCGCCTTTCACCCTTCCACCCCTCTGTCCTGATGCTCCCAAATTCCTTTTCCCTTGTCTTCCTGCTTCAGTGGCTTCTCAGAAACCAGACAGAACAGAATCTGCTGCCTAAAATAGCCATTTAACTACGGCATGTATGTATTCATATGACTTAGCCATGCCATGGCAGTGCAGAGATCTATGAGCCTGTAATTCTAATTCCTCTAATACTAATACTTAGCAGCTCCCCCCACCCAGGGTTGTGTAAAAATCATTCGAAAGCCGCAAAGGACTGTACAAGTATTACTCTAACAAATTATTATCACTGATAAAAATAAGCCCCTTTCAGGAGCGCCTGGGTGGCTCAGTCGGTTAAGTGCCTGTCTTCCGCTACTGTCATGACCTCAAGGTCCTGGGATCTAGCCCCAAATCAGGCCCCCTGCTCAGTGGGGAGTCTGCTACTCCCTCTCCCTCTGCCTCCCCCCTCCTCTCCCCTCCCCTCTGCTCAGGCTCTCTCTTGCTGTCTTGCTCTCTGTATCAAATAAATCTTTAAATAAATAAATAAATAAATAAATAAATAAATAAATAAATAAGCCCCTTTCAGTGTGCCTTTTTCTCAAAGCCCTCTAATAGTATTAGTGGGTGTGGTGTGATGACATTCAGAACATGTACCCCAAAATATGGCACCTTGGCATATTGAATACTGTAAACTAACGGAGCTTGAAAAAGCAGCAGGATCAGGAAAGTCACTCTGAACTTCCCTCCATCCTTCTTCCCTGAAACCAATCAAAAATCCTTGTGTGAGAGGTGCCCTCCCTACACCCTGATCTGCAAAGACAAAGGGATGGCAAGAACAAAGAGGCCTTGCTAAGTTTCTCCGGGTTTACTATGCTTACCTCATACTCCTTGACCTATTACGTTCCTCCATGATGTCCACTCTCCATCAAAAATAGCATAAGAAGGGGCGCCTGGGTGGCTCAGTCGTTAAGCATCTGCTTTCGGCTCAGGTCATGATCCCAAGGTCCTGGATTCGAGTCCCGCATCGCATCAGGCTCCCTGTTCCGTGGGAGGCCTGCTTGTCCCTCTCCCACTCTCCCTGCTTGTGTTCCCTCTCTCGCTGTGTCTCTCTCTGTCAAATAAATAAATAAAATCTTTAAACAAAAAAATAACATAAGAATATACAAGTCTGTTTCTTTGAGTTTTCATTTTCTTGTGAAGGCTTCCCTGTCCTGTAAAACTTAAATAAATCTGTGAACTTTTCTCCTGTTGTTTTCTTTGTCAGCTTAATTGTCAGACCCAACCAGAGACCCAAAGAGTGAGAAAAACTTAAAATTTGAAAAATTTTTACATTAAATCAGCATAGCTCAAACATTTTGATGTCAAGATCCCTTTACATTCTTAAAAATTATTGAACACCCCAAATAGCTTTTGTTTATCTAGGTTATATCTAAAGAGATTTACTGTATTAGAAATTACAACAAAGAAAAATCATTAAGCATTGATTTATAATGCATTTAAAAACAACAATAATAAATTCATTATATGTTAACATTAGAGCAATGAGGTCATTACACACCATGGAACCTCTGGAAACCCCCATTGTACACTCCTGAAGGAGTAAGAGTGAAAAAGGCAAATATTGTCTATATATTATTATAGAAAGAGTTGGCAATCACACATCCTCTAAAGGGACACTTTGAGAACTGTTGGATTTGATAATGGCATTAAATCAATATTAATTTCCTGATTTGTATGTAAGAGAACATCCTTATTTATAGAAAATACACACTGAGGTATTTAGAAGTAAAGGCACATCATATCTGCAATTTACTCTCAAATGCTTTAGAGAAAATAAAGAGAGTGATAGAGCAAATCAAGTAAAATGTTGACAATTTGGAAGGGAAGGATGCTTACTTTTCTGTAAGTTGGAAATTATTTCAAAATAAAAGGTTTTGGGGCCCCTGGCTGCCTCAGTCGGAGGAGAGTGCAACTCTTGATCTCAGGGTTGTGAGTTCGAGCCCCACGTTGGGTGTAGGGATTACTTAAAAATAAAAATGGTAATTAATTAATTAAAGGTTTTAAAAACATACCAAAACACCCAAGTTCTTTTTTTACATTTATTGACCTAAAAAAGGTCAACACCAGAGGCAAAAGCAGGTCCCTCTTCCAGGGGCCTCCTCCCCTCTGCACGAGTTCTCCTTTGGCTTCTCAATGACTACTCTCCCCAGGGTTCCCTCCTTCCCCTGTCTTCCTCACTGCACTTGCACCCTGGCTTTCCTCTCCATTCTCATCTATTTTAAATTCCACCTTCATGCCCCCGACTCACATTTTCATTTCTGCTCCAGACATCTCCTGTGAGTTTGTGCTTCCAAATACCTTCACATCTCCATTTCCATGAATCAGAGATGACATAAAGTGAATAGATTTTAAATGGAATTCAGGATATCCACCCCTTTTGTGTAATAATTTGTCTGGTCTTTGTTCTGGATTTCTGGTACAGAACTTCTAAAATCCTCAGAATCCCCCAAGTGATAGGAGTGTGTTTGTTCTTTGCACCCCTTGATCACACCTGACTTTATGAGGGGAGCTGGTCACCGGAAAGACCCATCATGTGAGTCATTGTGACAAATCTGAGGGAGTCACAGAAACTCCCAAACCCGTAGCCCATTGGTCTGAAATACAGCGGCCTGGACCCCTGAAATGAACCTGGCATCTGAAGTAAGAGCAGCCTTGTTGGGGATGTGCCCTTAAACTTGCAGGGTCAGGGCTGTCTGGATGGTTAATGCCAGGACGGAACTGCAATACACCGGTTGGTGTTAGAAGAACTCCCTAATCCCTCCATACTCCACCACCTGGGCCATCACTATCTAAACAAATGGCTCCAATGTTTACCAGAGTCCTAAGTGACTGGTAGTTGCCCCCTTCCCCTCTCCCCAAGTATCTGGTCCATCACAAATCTTCTCACTTTCCAAAACATACCCCCAAGTGCCCTCTTCTCTCCACCACCAGGTCATTCTTTTTTTTTTTTTAAGATTTTATTTATTTATTTGACAGAGAGAGACACAGCGAGAGAGGGAACACAAGCAGGGAGAGTGGGAGAGGGAGAAGCAGGCCTCCCGCAGAGCAAGGAGCCCGATGCGGGGCTCGATCCCAGGACCCCGGGATCATGACCTGAGCCGAAGGCAGACGCTTAACGACTGAGCCACCCAGGCGCCCCACCACCATGTCATCTTGTCACATGCTCCCTATCATCTCTCACCCGGATTTCTACCACGGCTCTCTCACTTATCTCCCTATTGCCATATTGGTCCCCCTCCAACACATTCTCCATAGAGAAATCAAAGTGATGTTCCTAAAGTATAAATTCTTCACTTTCCAGACTCTGGTCTTCTTCACATTTCTCAAATAAATCCATTTGTTCCTACCTCAGGACCTCAGCATCTGCTGGTCCTCCATCTGGAATAGTCCCCCCCCCCCCATTCTTTGTACATCTTGCTCCTCTCCTTCCTTTAAGTTTTCAGCTCAAACGCTTCCTCCTCAGACAGAACTTCTCTGACCACACAGACAAAAGCATCCCTGTTCCCCGTTACTTCCCATCACCATCCCATGGTTCTCCCCTCATATTCTGGCAACTTTCTTTCTCTTTCTTTCTTTCTTTCTTTCTTTCTTTCTTTCTTTCTTTCTTTCTTTCTCTCTCTCTCTCTTTCTTCTTTCTTTCTTTCTTTCTTTTCTTTCTTTCTTTCTTTTTAATGTTATTTATTTACTTGAAAGAGAGAGAGAGAGCACGAGCAGGGAGAGGGGCAGAGGGAGAAGCAGAGTCCTGGGATGGAGACCTGAGCCAAAGGCAGATGCTTAACAGACTGAGCCATCCAGGTGCCCCCATCCTCCGGCAACTTTCAATTACTCTAGTGCCTGTTAGGCTGTGTTTTATTCATGTCTCTCATGCTTACCCTTGTATCCGAAGCATCTAACACAGTACCCAGAGCTCCGATAACATTGTTCAATGAATAAATGTGTGAACGTGGCTTCTTGCTTGTATCCTAGACTTATAGTATGGCTGTGGCTGTTCTAGGAAGTCTATCCAGACCCAATGTCCAGAGGTACAGGAGACCATCTCTTCCTGATCCTTCCTCTGAAGCTAGGACATCTTGCCCGGAAGCCCTTTGCACTTGGCTAGCCAGAATGAGATCACATGACCATGCTTAACCCAATCACTGGAAGGGAGATGGGACTTGACCCCCCAACACACACACACACATGATTGGCTGAGACAAAAGGTTCTTGCCTCCGGGCATACAGCCCTCCAGAGAGTTACAGGAGGTGTGTGTGAAGAGGGGGGTCTGGAGCTGTCACAGTGTCTGGAGGTTGTTACTGGCATTTAATGACCAGAGAATTTGAAATGTTGAGGCTTTTGCAACACCTGGGGCAGCCCACAAACGGGGTTGACCCATCACAGTGCCAGTAATGCCCCTTTGAGAAACACTGACTTGGGCCAACCAGGACCTGCCCTACGGATGGAGCCAGTCCCCCTTAAAGCACCGGATGGGGTATACTCACCGGTCCGTAATAAAGCAGGAATGGAAGTAGTGGATGTCGGGAAGGCAATCAGCAGTGTCTACCAAACGGTCGTTTTCAGCTCAATGCCATGTTGAGCAAGTTTTATTGAAGAGGCTTCTGCCTGAATCTTTTCAGTTATCTCCGTAAATTCCTGAAAGCAGGATTGCTGGATC